CCCCAAAACCCCAAAACCCCAAAACCCCATGGATGTTGAAATAGAAAAATATTAAGATAAAGTCATTATTGAAAATTAGCAGTAAAATTAAAGTCCTATTATTAGATGTTGAGTTTGGGAATCACAAAGATTCTATGACCTTCAGATTCGCTTCTTATTATAGTTTGATTCATTTGCCTTAACCTTAGTTTATTTTTCAAAATTTCTTCTTAACTTTATCTCCGTGGCAGATGTTCTTCAAGCTATGGCAAATTGAAACCTGTTGGTGAACTGATTCTTTAATTTGGGCTAATTTTTTATTATTTCGTCATTGATAGTGGCTAGAGTAAACTATCTTATAATTGATCTTATTTTTGTTAATTCTAATTAATCTATTATTGAGACTTAAGGATCTCACTTAAGTTTTCAAGTAATGCTTTTGCGCTTTAAATTTGCACCGCTTACTGTTCTTAGTTGTGTGTATTTTAACTTCCTTAACTTTATTAGGGATTTTGGTCTTATAATTTAGGAGCAGCAAGAGAACTAATTGGTGAAGCCAATTAGGCGAGGTAGTTCTATTAAAATTAGTATTAGGGGAGAGTTACGGGTTAACGAAAATTATAATTATCTAAACAGTTAAATTTATTAATAAATAACTACTGCTCCTGCTGCCCCATTCAATTATAATAAGCTTGTTGTTATTTACTCTGATGGAATGTTCTGTAGCATTACTGAAATATGCCGACTTCAGTTTATCCATGATTCAGCTTTTACTGTAAAGCTATCGGCTCTTTACTTCCGGAACATTGAGATATACTCTGATTATTGAGATTTTCTTATGAAACTATGGTCTCGATTTTTGTTTTCAGTGAGACTTCACTTACTTTTTACTCAGTATTTTAATCATTCTATAAATGTAAGAGTACTACTTTACAGTTTTAGCCAATAAAGTCTCGTTTTTCTATTTCTACAAGGGCTTATCTTTTTCAATTAGGCTTAATAAGTCTCTGAGCGCCAAGTCTCCATCCTGGTTCGAATTATTGGCTTTAGTATCTTTGATCGAAGTTTAAGAATGTTAAACTGGCTATGCTGCATAAATAGGAAAAATCTTTGTCGAAAATTTCGTCATTTTTTAAGCAGTTAGTTGCTAAAGGAGGTCTAAAATAAGATAAAATAATCAAAGAGTACTATCAATGAACATAATGGTAGTTGAGGTCAAAATTTCTCTTAAATTTTACTAAATTATTATAATGAACAATTATTAGAACTTATTCATTAGATACACATCAAGGGGTTTTGGGGTTTTGGGGTTTTGGGG